AAACAAACACTTTGCCGCATGTCTCGGTCGTCACCTCAAAAGCGTGTGGCGACAAGCTGCGATGTGTCCGTCTCCCGTCTCTGTCGCGTGCAGCCAAATTGTACCTTTAGAAAGACGGAATGCACTTCCGTGTCTCTGAGGTATGCAAGATTACAGCCACTAGCGACCAGCGTTGTATTCCTCCGTTTTGGGAAATAGAACCGAATGGGTTCCAGCTGGCACGTTACGTGCTCCACTGTTCTTAGCGCCCTAAGGCAAAATTCGACCCAGAAATGGGCGTGTAACGGGAACCAACAGGCCATTTCGAACGAAGGTTAACATCGTCTTCAGTCAGTTTATAATTTACCGAGATTCTTGTCGCGTTATGTTACTCGTCCTATGACCTAGTTTACTGCGAGTACGGAACAGATGTTAGGAGTTTTATCGCTGTAAGAATAGAAATGGCTTTGAGTGATCAGAAGTCGAAGGCCATTTCCAGATTTATAGCGATTGAACTATGCAGATCCAGACATTGTTAAACTTTGCACTGGAATGGGGTGGTTTGTTTCAAGCTCCGGCCGTTTTATCACCAAGGAAATAATTCCGGTACGCATTGGATGGGAAGCTGGGTGAGACCCAGAGCCTGGTGGCAAAGATAAACATCCTGTTCTGCCGGGAATCAAATCCCGGTCATCCACGCCGTAGTATAGTTACTATACTGACTGATTGTATAAGTAGAGTTTATAAAAAGTCAGGATCTAGTGTCTGTTTAGGAATGTTACGAAAGAATACCCATAAATTCTCTTATAATTTGCTGTGTCATGTTACTTTACGCTGTGAAATGCTCCGTACAGGTAATGTTTTGTCTCGCTCTTCACGAGAAACATGAGCACCTTGTGATTACATGTCCAAGGCTAAACAAAGGCGAGCCTACATAGAAAATCCATACGGCTCGTAACGATCTCCAAAGTCCAATGGTGTAGATGTGGGCAAACACCTTGGCGTGTGGGTCACAACCGAAGGAAAATGATGACGACTCAACAAGTCATTCAAAACGCATCTGACCTCAAGAAGTGAAACACTCGAAGAAAAATAT